GAAACCCTTTTGAAGTTTCGTACGCAACATTCGAAAAGTTTCATAGACTCAAGACAATCATTTTGAACGTGTTTTTGGCTCGTAAAAAACTTTAAAAAAGGTTTTGATATGGTTACAAAATAGATTCGGTGAGATACCTCTGTTGTTTTCAGTGCAGAAATAGATGTCGAATAAGAAGACATGGTGATGTTAAATCTACAAAAAAAACATTTAAAAAAAATACTATTAAATAAACTTTGAAAATTCTATAAAAGGAACTATCGCATATACATACTCTCATGCTCGATTTCTTTCCTATTAATTATTTTTTTATTGAAACTGGTGTGAGAATACAAGAACACAAAACCATTTCGTGGACCTTTTTAGCCCTAGCGAAAAATCGAAATTATTGGAAATGGACCATTATTAACATATAATCACTACCCTCTTATGTCAAGATCTATATCTCATCTATAGTTGCATGAATAATTACCAAATTTTCACTATATATACAAGCAAAGGTTCTCTACAAAACAAAATTAAAACAATCTTATCCAATCACTCTATTGATGATCACTGGCTATCATAAAAAATTCTATATGTAACACTTATTTTTCGATGCATAATAGACATTGTTTAATCTATAACTGCAAAATGACTCTCATCTAATAAGTGAAACTTTTACCAGCGATGTAGCTTTATACAATCTACCAAATATTAAAATAAAACCAAAAAAATATGTCAGTCTTTACTAGTGAGATTCACATTTCTGAAAAGACAGAGCCTTTAAGGCAAAACATATAGGAAAATGGTTAGTTTTTCAAGATTTGGATAGTCAAAAGTTGATTTTTATGGGAAATAAACATCATATTTGGGATCACCGTATAAGAATACATCAAAAACACTAGTTTTTATTGTGAAATATTTTTCGTCAAAATTTGACCCGGTAGGAGGTATAGGCCAAAATTTAACAAAAAAAAGCTGAGACAGAGTAGAGGTAAAATTTCGATGGTCCTCACACTATCAAAGAAACCAAAGGAAAGACTTTACTAATACGCATGAATGAGAGACAATATGCCGTAGTAGTTGATGTTTGATATATTGAATAAAGTGTAACTTGTTTTTCCTCATATGTTCGCCTATGATATGTGCATCTTAGATACCGTCGTAGTAGGGTAACAATTATTTGTTTTTGTCAACTGAAAATAACTTTTTTCGTTTCTCTATCGTTGTATATATAGAGCCAGACATGTTCTCATAGTTTCACCAATCACTTCTCATCGTACTCCAGATTTATTCTACATCACATTCTTACTATCAATATGCCAGTCGTATGTGGTTCATCATGCCGTAGTGGTTGTGACAGTTCATGCTGAGATCCTTGTGCTCAACGATGTGTAGTGTCAATCGTCACAGTTGTTCAAAAGAAAACCGTGGTCGTTCGTAAATCATGCGCCAAAGTTTGTTGCTGCTGACATGGATATTTTACTCGTTTTTCTATAAACTGATGGAATATAATATAAAAGACACGCGCAAAAATATCCACCTAGCTTTGTACATGGCAGTAGACAGAATTTTTGTGAAAGGAACATCTAGTCCAATCAGTTGAATCAAAATTTGATCCTGATGAATTAAAACTAATAACAACCATAGAACTTTCAAAGCGTTATTCTCATTGTTTCATTATCAATTTTACTTATAATTTTCCGAGAACGTGTACGTTAAAAACATGTTCATGTCGAAAAAGAAAACATATTTTCCTCAACTCGAATCGTGGTCAGAGTGTGGGCGTGAGATGGATGTATCACCCACACCCTCAAAAAAATATTACCATAAACAGTATTTTGCAAATAGTAAGATAACTAATATCGATGAGAAAAAGACGAGCTGTACTCTATTAAATGAAATAAAATAGATCGATTTTATTCTAGAAGTTGAAGTGAAATAGACGACTTGCGAATATTTTATTTCGATAAAAAAAGAAGAAGAAAGTCATAATTAAACAATTGGATAAAGAGCTGATGTAGCAATTCCACACTGATTTTGTTTATTTCGACTCATTAGTATGTAACCTTTAATTCCCCAATCGACACCCCACGAATTTTTAACAATATAATAATCTTTGGAATTCAATGTTCCATATCCGGCCGCTAAAACGGCATGATCGAGTCTTTTTGTTGAGCAATTAGGTTCATCATAGACTCCACTCGAATAAAATTGAAATGAACCTTGTGAAGCATCGATCGAGACTGCTATTGGACCAACTGTAGCAATCGCAGCTTGGAGATCCATTTCATTGTGCTTTTGTATTCGAGTATAACCCTAAAATAAATAAGAAACAAAATAATCGTTTATTTTCATTTGAAAAATAAATGTTTACCGTTAGTGTAGCACCAATATTTTTTCTATTAAACTGACATAATTGACGTTCAGCCATATATGGATAAGTCTCTTCAGTATCAATTCCATGATGAAGCTTAATATGATCAAAGGCAAGATCTTGATTACCACCATTACATCCAAAATTCAGCAGTGAACAATCAACTAAATTTTGTTCAGAAAGCGAAACAAGTTGTGATGTTTTTGCAAAATGTTGTCCTTCCAGTGCACCAGTTGTTGAGAAAGCCCAACATGAACCACATTGACCTTGATCTTTCACATATGTTACATAACCTTTCGTACGCCAATCTATATTTTCAAATAGGCGATACATCAAACATAATAATAATAAAAAGAACTAATTTACCAACACTATCTGGTAAAATAAGATTTGCGGGTCTTGAAAATGTTTGATAATTTATTTGTTTTGTTTCGTTCTCTGAAATCATTTTAAATCCATTCATTTGTTTTCGAAATTCTTCATTTGTCTTAGAACAAAAAATTAAAGAAAAAAGATTTGGTCTACGTTTTTCGTATATATTTACCATATCACCAAATTGATTCATTGCAAGTGTATAACTATGGAGACCAATATCGAATTCAAGATTATGTTGATGAATCACTGCCACATTTTCGTCCCAGATTTGACGACTATTGATACAATTCATTTATTATTTTTTGTAAATTACAATTTTTACAAACCGATTGGTTTCTTCTTCATTGGAGAAATATTTTTTTTTAAAAACACGTTTGAATAAAGACCAAGATTCATTCGACGTTGGGAAACAATGTCCACTTATAAAAATGGCACATAAAAGAATTAAAGATTTCATTATCGATATGCTTCTTCACGTAGTTGAATAGAAAACGTGATACTAACTGTAATAATGACCATGGTTAACACGTAGATATAAGGATTTTTTCTGCTTAGTCACGCGTTTTAGATAAGAGCATCCGTATTACGGTGTATTTTATTGACACTTACTTTTTTTCTTTATCAAGCTGAAAGAAAAAAAAAGAGATGATAAATATGGTCCTCTGGAATGAGTTACTCTGCAATTTTGAAAAATTTGATGTAGATAAAACTAATGACACTGCTATCGTTTGTATGAGAATGATAAAGTGAAATGAATATTTCAATCAAACCTATTTTCTTTGATATTGATACTTTCATCTTGGATTTTTATAAGATAAAAACAGAACACATTTTCATTAGACAAGGATTTACATATATACAGGCTGGCTCATGAATAACATCCCGATAAGAAATCTAAAGATCTCAGCCAAATATAGACCAAATGCGCTGAATTTTTTTCGAGTAATAGAAGCTTACTTAAATTATTTTCATAAAAGAAAACAACATCAATAAAGATCTTTCACTTGTTGAGGGGAAATAAAAATCTTATTGAATGATTTTTTACACCAATAAAGCATTTAGTTCAATTGTTCGAATTTATGTTTATTAGCATCGGAACATCTTCGAAGTCTTCCAGACACTGATGGCATTTTTGAGTGTTTGCAAGGACTGACGGCGCATTCGCCGTGAATCTTCACTAACAAAAATTGATAAATCGCACAATTCTTCAATGACTGATTCCTCGATATTTCATCACTTCGTTCGTCGTCACCTCATTACCTCTTTATCTCACACACATCGGTAGGTCTTCGCCACACTCTTAAGTCCTGATCTACTCCCTCCATCAGTGCTCACACTTACCCACTTTGGCAGGTGTGGGTGTGGGTGTCTATCCTCTCTCAATCAACACCCGAATCGTTAAACATAAGATCAACAGAGGCATTATTGTAATATACCTGCGTGATCGTTCCATTAAAGGTCCAATTTGTCGGCCTTGTAATACCACTGCCTGATTCGCATGGTCCAGTCTCTGCATCACCATTTGCTATCCAGTTTACTTTGAACAGAGAACAAAAAAACGATTTCTTGAGCGCAGAATATAGTTAGATTATTCTTTACTAAGAATCATAAGGTCTTATTAGTGGTTAAAAACATGCATTATTCGTGAGTGTTAAACTACCTGGTGTTACTTATTTGATTGTTGTGTTGTTAGTTGATATTGTTTTGATAGTGGTTGCTTTGAATGACAAGTTCATATTGCATTTTGATTAGTATTTACAAACATTTGCATTCTGGGTGTGGGTGTGTATGACTAAGGACTGGAACGACACCCACACCCACAGCCACACACCCACACCCACACCCACACACTCACACACCCACACACCCACACACCCACACACCCACACACCCGCACACCCACACACCCACACACCCACACACCCACACACCCACACACCCACACACCCACACACCCACACACCCACACACCCACACACCCACCCACCCACCCTCACACCCACCCAGACCCACACCCACACCCACACCCACACCCACACCCACACCCACACCCACACCCACACCCACACCACCCTCAAGAAATTTGAAAAAAAATGTATGAAACATAATCAGGACCTAAGTCTATCTTTAATCGAATAAAAACCAATCGACTTTGTTGGGGGCAAAAAAAATGGCCTTATCCGCCCTCGTCCTTTAAAAATATTGCTAAAAAATGCTCGTGCATAGAAATTAAATGCAAAGAAATAGTAAATTTCAGATGTAAAGTGGAATGAGAATAAAAAAACATATACTATCTTCGCTTGTTTTTAAATAAAAATAA